TGGGCGACATGGTTAGCGAGAGCTTTGGATGTTAAAAGTTAGTACAGGATCGTAATAGAAAGTAATGAAGGTTTTTAGGGTCTGTGAGAGATGCTGCATGGATGGAGTGCTGGGGAAAATATAGGCAGGATTCTGGGCCAATCAAAGCATGGAAAGATATTTTTTGGTACGTCATATAATAAAGCCTTAAAGCAATGTGACAAAGATGTGACAAGAGCATTAACCAAGATAGCAGTATTCCTAGGGATAAGGGATGGTTTGGATACAGTTGAGTATCGAGATAGAAGTGAGCAGACTGTATAATGTTATTTCTATAAGCATGGAAGGAGAAATGAGTCTCAGACTCTCATCAAGAAGAGAAGATGGAGGGAGTGTTCGATCAGGCTTAGTAGGAGGGTGGAGCGAGGTGTCATCTGCACATAACTGGGGTGCAATGACATGCTTTCCAGATATATCACCAGGGGAGAGGGGATTGAGTATGAAAAGAGGCCTTAAGACAGAAGTAGAAGGGTTCCTCTTCTACTGAATGTGCAGTTACAGCTCCAAGTCTTGGGGTCTTTACCATCTGCTCATATCAAGTGTTAAATTTTCTTTCCATTCTTTTTTACTAAATATGTTTGGAAATAGGATTTGACTAGGTCGTTCATACACATCAATATATTCTGTCTATTTTACCTCCTTTTCATATTTTTGTGACTTTGCTAAGCTTTGTTCTCTGCAATCATTTCATACTACAGTCATTCTTTTGTAATCTTACTGCCCTCATAGAGAGATAAAACAATCACCAAACATTACCATATTTTTATAGAGCCATTACGCAGCATAAATTATCCTTGGAAAGTAAAATATGGCTGGCTGACAATAGAAAGTGAGTAATCTGACCTTATCTAAACTGAATGTTCAATGGATGGTTTAAGATTACAAACAGACGGACAGCAAGCAGTGTAGAGATTCATCACAGCAGAACCTAATCACATCAGGGTCCTTGCTGTTGTTTCCCAATATCACAAATATAGCAACAACAATTTTTCCATTGACTTCGGCTCTACTCAGCCAGCTGGTTCCTGAAGCTTTGAAGTCTCTGAGCACTTAGGAGGGATCAGTTTTCAAACGGCCTTTCAGCCACTCCAGACATGAATGGAGACTTTTAAAAACACCACAGAATGAAGTTAAGTTGGAATTGATCTAAGCTCTAAAATACATCCTGTGATTTTCAGTTCACTTTTTTATGAAAGACTTTACTGCTCTGAGACCTTAGGAAAATATTTGTAAAGCTTTTATTAGACCCAGTTATATAAGTTAAAAGACAAGCAGCCGTGCAGGTGACATAAAAAAGTATAATGTTGTATAAGAACACCATGACAGATAAACAAAACATCAACAGTATGAAACAAAGTTAAAGAGTATTTCTATAGACTAGGCCAGAAACAATTAATTGAACCAATTGTGATTAATTGATTATTGAATTAATTGTCAACTGATTTAGTAATCGATTAATCGTTAACTGGAGTATAGAGACTAAAACGTGTCTTTAGCTGATAGAGCAACCCACCTTGAGCAGCAATAATATCAAAATAGTAAAAAAAGTGTAAATATTTGGCATTTAAGATAAAAAAAAATATTTTTTGCTGTTAATATGCTATATCCACAACTCCTCAAGTCTAAAAGTTTTACTTTCACTTGATTTAATTTCACAAAAATCTGTTGTTATCTAATTATTAATTGAGAAAACAATTGACAGCTTAATTGATTTGCAAATAATATAGACATATGCTAGTTAGAGTCTATTTTATATGTTAACTCTGATATTATGTCATTATAAAGTATTATTTTCCTTTGCAGTTTTTCTAGAGAATGACAGAAGGTATAAGGCCAAAAGACAAAGACATATTTTTAACATGTTTTACTACAGATAGAAGCAGGAAAATCAAAATAGAAATAGAAATGATCTGCCCCATCTGTACACAGCGTTGGAGCTGAACTTAATGGAGGTTCAGTGAGGTCCTTTGTTTATGACAAAAACATTGCTGAGAATAATGTGCTTTACTGAGAAGATTAAATTATTTAAGAAGTTTTAATACACTTTCTCTATCATAGTCTCAAGCCAAAGGTTTTACATTAGTTGTCTGAACATAGATGACAGGCTTACACAAAAGTATGGGTGTATTAATCTTAATTGTTGTCTGAGGGCAACTGTGGCTCTATGGGCAGAGAAGATGTTTTTTTCAGTCTGAATCAAGCTCCCTCCTGCCAGTTAATGTTCTGAACGAGTCACCTAACTCTAAGCTACTGACAGATCTTCTATCAGTGTATGGATGTGGCTCTAGTGGAAAGCATGATGAGCAGTCAATGTGTTTTGAAATAGGCTCTGTTGTTTCATTCCCTTTTCCTTATTGAATCCGCTATTACCTGGATTCAGAAATCATGCTCTCTAGTACAGAAGAAAAATTGAAATCACTGGTGTGAATCAGAATCAAAATTAGACATACTTTAATAATCCCAGAGGGAAATAACTTTTGTTAGACGCTCCATATATATATATATATATATATATATATATATATATATATATATATATATATATATATATATATATATATATATATATATATATATGTGTATATATATATATATATATGTATATATATATATATATATATGTATATATATATATATATATATGTATATATATATATATAATATGTATATATATATATATACAGGTGCTGGTCATAAAATTAGAATATCATGAAAAAGTAGATTGATTTCAGTAATTCCATTTAAAAAGTGAAACTTGTATATTATATTCATACATTACATACAAACTCATATATTTCAGATGTTTATTTTGTTTAATTTTGATGATTACAAATGACAACAAATGAAAATCTCAAATTCATCATATCAGAAAATTAGAATATTGTGAAAAGGTTCAAAATTGATGGCCCCTGGTGCCACACTCTAATCAGCTAATTAACTCAAACCACCTGCAAAAGCCTTTAAATGGTCTTTCAGTCTAGTTCTATAGGCTACACAATCATGGGGAAGACTGCTGACTTGACAGTTGTCCAAAAGACGACCATCGACACCTTGCACAAGGAGGGCAAGACACAAAAGGTCATCGCTAAAGAGGCTGGCTGTTCACAGAGCTCAGTGTCCAAGCACATTAATAGAGAGGCGAAGGGAAGGAAAAGATGTGGTCGAAAAAAGTGTACAAGCAAGAGAGATAACCGCACCCTGGAGAGGATTGTGAAACAAAACCCATTCAAAAATGTGGGGGAGATTCACAAAGAGTGGACTGCAGCTGGAGTGAGTGCTTCAAGAACCACCACACACAGACGTATGAAAGACATGGGTTTCTGCTGTCGCATTCCTTGTGTCAAGCCACTCTTGAACCACAGACAGCGTCAGAAGCGTCTTGCCTGGGCTAAAGAGAAACAGGACTGGACTGCTGGTGAGTGGTCCAAAGTCATGTTCTCTGATGAAAGTAAATTTTGCATTTCCTTTGGAAATCAAGGTCCCAGAGTCTGGAGGAAAAGAAGAGAGGCACTTCATCCACGTTGCTTGAAGTCCAGTGTAAAGTTTCCACAGTCAGTGATGGTTTGGGGTGCCATGTCATCTGCTGGTGTTGGTCCATTGTGTTTTCTGAGGTCCAGGGTCAACGCAGCCACATACCAGGAAGTTTTAGAGCACTTCATGCTTCCTGCAGCTGACCAACTTTTTGGAGATGCAGATTTCATTTTCCAACAGGACTTGGCACCTGCACACAGTGCCAAAGCTACCAGTACCTGGTTGAAGGACCATGGTATCCCTGTTCTTAATTGGCCAGCAAACTCTCCTGACCTTAACCCCATAGAAAATCTATGGGGTATTGTGAAGAAGAAGATGCAATACACCAGACCCAACAATTCAGAAGAGCTAAAAGCCACTATTAGAGCAACCTGGGCTATCATAACACCTGAGCAGTGCCACAGACTGATCGACTCCATGCCACGCCGCATTGCTGCAGTAATACAGGCCAAAGGAGGCCCAACTAAATACTGAGTGCTGTACATGCTCATACTTTTCATGTTCATACTTTTCAGTTGGCCAACATTTCTATAAATCCTTTGTTTTTATTGGTCTTCAGTAATATTCTAATTTTCTGATATGATGAATTTGAGATTTTCATTTGTTGTCATTTGTAATCATCAAAATTAAACAAAATAAACATCTGAAATATATGAGTTTGTATGTAATGTATGAATATAATATACAAGTTTCACTTTTTAAATGGAATTACTGAAATCAATCTACTTTTTCATGATATTCTAATTTTATGACCAGCACCTGTATATATATATATATATATATATATATATATATATATATATATATATATATATTTCACGATGTCTGGTGATGGCTAACCAACCAGACATCGTGTTGATCGACAAACAGCAGAAGAAGGCAGTAGTGATAGATGTGGCAATCTCAAGCGACAGCAACATCAAGAAGAAAGAACACAAGAAGCTTGAGAAATACCAAGGACTGAAGGAGGAGCTAGAAAAGATGTGGAAAGTAAGAGCAGCAGTGCTGCCAGTGGTAATTGGAGCACTGGGGGCTGTGACCCCCAAACTGGGAGAGTGGCTACAGCAGATTCCAGGTAAAACAACAGAGGTCTCTGTCCAGAAGAGCGCAGTCCTAGGAACGGCTAAGATACTGCGCAGAACCCTCAAACTCCCAGGCCTCTGGTAGAGGACCCGAGCTTGTGGGTTAAATGCAGAGGTAAATTTCTCCAATGTGAGATCAATAAAGTGCAATTATTAATGATTATTATAAATATCTATTGAAAGTGAGATAACTAATTGCTAAAACTCAGAATAAAGGATATCCACTATGTTCCTCTTGTAACCTTGAGGTACTATTATGTGCTTATCTGAAATTGATCTAACCTGAGTTTTCTGTTCTCTCTCCGCCCTTTTCTTCCTCTTTTTTCCCTGATCTGTCTTCCTTACCAGAAGGATCTACCTCTGCCTCGTAAAAGTAGCAGGTAAGATTGATATTTTCCTTTTCTGCTTTGAGCCGCATACATGATCTGTGTCTTTAAGATCTTTAGGATAAAACGTTCCCCAAACAGTCTTTTTTCATGTAAAGTAATTTTATTAGTTGGATCAGGGGGATCAGAGCACAAGGTAAAATTGTTCACACAAGTGTTACCAAAGCTTGTATCACAACAGTTACTTTAATCATATTCTGCTTATTCTCAGAAAATATTGCAAATCCCTGTTTTCATAATATTATGAAGCTTAAGTGCTATTAAGGCAGAATACATTGCTTCTGAGCCATGGCTCTAAAAGAATAGACTTTTTTCTGCTGTTTTCCTCTCTCTTGTTCATATAACTTCAAACTATAATTGCTTTTAGCATCAGGAAGCTCAGAAACAATGGAGGTGATTTTATGGGTGCTTTGCATCTGTTAGTCCTTGTTCTGATTTTTGCTGAAAAAAATAGTCTCCGATAAGAAATGATTATTGGGGGCAAAGAAAATGCCTCACTGTTTTTCTTGAGAATTTGGACTTGAATGTATAAGGGGTTTTGCAGCTCTCAGGTACGATTAGAATGACATAAAGTAGCGGCCTATGCAGACTTTCTTTTAGCACAATATTTTTCAACTAGTTAAAAAAAACACTCCTGGGATTGGGTAGGAATAGTTAACATTTGATTAATATTCAAATATTCAGCTTGTGGCTTGATTATCCCAGTCGTTCTTTCTTTTTACTGCTGTAATATTAAGCCTAAAGATGCAGCAGTCAATCAGCTAAAGATCAGAATTACTAAATATATTTCTTAATTGATTCTCATAATTGATTATCAGGTTATTATTTTTTTTTTCCTGTTTATTACATGTATCAAAACTAACAACTTTCATACATATCTCTCTAGAAAGGCATCTCTGTCTGATGGAAATAAACCTGTTTGTTTTTTTCCCCCTTTGGATTTAAAACCACTTAATCTAAGAAATAATCTTTTTATGTCTTTTATAAAAGGCATCCGGATTGTTCCCCAAATTATTCCTGTGTGTCTCCAGTTTTCATACCTTTTGCGTTATTAAAAAGAAAGCATACACACTTGGCTACAGATGAAAAAAATGTTTTCCCCCCAAAGACTCTGTCATACTTAGTCATAAGAAGTCATTGTCAGGTGGGGTTATTGTGCTTGGAGCAGCATGTCTTTTAGCTTTACCATGTTTCAGCTTTGTGTGAGGCGATTCGCTTACAGCTCTCCTCTGGCGTCCAATCTGTTGCACCAATGAGCTGTGCGATGAACAGTCAGCCGCAGGAGAGCTGCGCTGCCACCTCAGTGACCTGTATGGATGAAGGAGGTCAGGGGGTTCAGGAAGAGAGGAAAAACACAGCAGTGCGGGACCTGCAGCCTCTTCTTTGTAGCAAACACATGTCTTTTTAAGGGTTTTTTATTAGTTAAAGAAAGCACATCGATCAATATGTCTCAGTGGATAGCAGGCAACTGTGTGTGTTTAGATTCATTTTTCACTTCACCCCATCCCTAAAACTTCTGATTGGTACCAGATTCAGAACGGAGAGTCTGGATGAAGGGATATTGTTTTAACAGAATGGCTTTAAGTGTGGTACTTAAGGTAGAAAAAAAGTTTAAGTTTCAGAGCTACAACGGATGAAATGAGGAGCATTTGTTAGAAATAGGAAAAAAGGCTGGCTGAGTATCTGTCCATGGTGCTGAAACGCTATGCCTTTTCCTTTTCTGTCATGCTTTGAAAAGCATCTAGGAAATTAGCTCAACAACCTTAAAAGGATTTCTTTATATGTATCTTTTCCACTGCTTAATATAATTTGGAGACTATTAAGTTTTTTTGTCTTAACTTGAATTTCTGTAATTCAAATCCCTTATTTGTTTTTGCTTCTGTCAAAATTGTTATCACCTAACTAATGAGAACTAATCCAGAAAAGTCTTAAAACATCCCACATTCATCTAAAGTTAAATGCATGAGAGGTTTCTGCAATGCATATTAATCTCTGCTCTTTTTTATTTGTTTTTCTCTCTATAAACTTACTATGTGAGTGTTTGATGTTGTCTTAACAGTTCTTTTAATGGGACAGTTGTTTTTCTCTGACCCATGCTAAAATGAGGCAGGGTGAAAATGAAAACTTTGGATTTGTGTTTTGACAAATTCCTCTGGTATTACAGTGATGATTGTTTATGGCACCTTGCAATAGTAGTCGTTCCCCTTGTATCTTTGGAAAGATGAAACATTAAGACATAAATGTTCACATACGTTATTGGGATTGGCTGCTATTTTGATGATTGTGCTCCTTGCCTGTCAGTTTATGCAGCATATGTCTCTGGGCAGATTTATTCAGTGTCCATTTTCAGATGATGCATTGAACTGAACTTTGTTAAAATGTCAGAGCTTGTAATATAGCTTTTTCTCTGTCATATTTCTCCACATCTCTCCAGATGGCCTGTCTGCTGTTTGTTTGTCTTCATTATGGTGTTTAAGTACTAATGTTCTCTAATAAGTGTCCCAGAACTATAAAACAGCTACATCTGAATCAGCTTTTTGGACAACTTTGAGCAAAAAAGTGTAACTCATTCCTACTCCTTCAATGCATATATATATATATATATTAAATATAATGTATTCAATATCACTAGAGCTTAAACTATGAATCCGATTAATCATAATTGATTAACCATAACAATAAATCATCTTTAGCTAATAGAGCGAACCATTTAGAGCAGTAATTATAAGAAAACTGTAAAAAAAAACACACAAATATTTTGCATTTAAGATAAAAAAAAACAAAAAAAACTTTTTCATCTGTCAATATGCTCTAAGCAAAACTACACAAATGGAAAAGATTAAGTTTGACCTTGTTTAATTCTGTAAAAAATACCTTTGCAAAACCTTTTGGTGTCCAAATCATTGAGTGAGGGGACGGTTTGTATGGAGGTTGTATAGCCAAACCTTACATCACAATATAGTTATTTTTTGGTTGTTTAGATATAGTTTAAATATCAATATAAATAAAAAAAGAACTTAAAAAACTGATGAATTTATGAAAATTATTTTACAATTTTACTCTGAAACTCCTCTGAAGTATTTGCTTTAAAGATAAAACATTCGAATAAATAAAACCCAGAATGTCAGCCAGCGACAAATGCTGACTGACTGAAATTAGGAAATCATTTCTATGTAATCATAGACTAATTTATATTGAAATATAAAACAATATATATACCATCCTTTTTAATGATATAATTTTTTTTTTATTCTATTGAGGTATATATTGAATATTGTGCTCCTCCAGAGAGCAAACAGCTCCACCATAAGCTTTAAGTGGACACTGATGAGTTATTTTCTTTTTTTATCTTTTTAAATAAGGACTTTGTATTAGATTAATGAAAATGCTCCAATGTTTAATTTTAAATCATATTTTATTGCTCTAAAAAAAGATATTGTAAAGCCAAGTTTGGATCAAAATGTCTCCCTTTCACCATTTTAGTTCTTGTCTCTTTGCTGCTTTAACCAGCATAGCAGGGAGTAATGTGTCTTTAGAAATGGAAGCCAGAGAATCATGTTGTAAAACTGCCCATCCAGGTACCTTTGCATGTGTGCATCCTAATGTGTGAAATCCAGATTCTTATTGCTGTCAGTGGACAGTAGCGTGAGTTTAGTAGGTTTTGTCGGTGACCTGCGACCTCTGTGGTGGGGTGGCAGATGTCAAAGCCAGACATGAGGGAGACTCTGGAGCAGGAGGCTCACAATCAGCGCCCCCTCCCTCCTCTGCAGGGGGCTGCTGCTCCATTTTTCTCTGCTCATCCTCCTTTGGTTGAGCCTTTGTGGGTTGAACTGAGTGAGCGGTTGTTTATTTAGCTGGTTGAAGAAAAGTCAGGGCGGGCAAGGCAACAAATACAAGGTTAAAAGATAAATATGTTGTAGAACAGCCTTGACATGAGTTCCATCTTCTATATGATATTATAGTGTTCAGCATCTATGACCTCCCACTGTGCTACAGTGATATCACCCCCCGCCCCCCTTCTCCCATGTATATTTCATCCATCCAGACTCCCACATTAGAAATGGCATCCATTATTGAATTACTCCCTTCAGCACTACTGTGCAACTGTCACCCGGTGTCAGCTTTAACATTTGGTGGATTGGTTTCAAAGGGAAGGATGGAGGGAATACACATATGTGTGGACATACAGAAAAGTGACATTTCTCTTGGTCGGGCACAGAAGAGCGGCTCCTGTGGTATCTAGGACGGACAGACAATGTCTGAGCTCAGGCAGGTTGGCAATTTGCTTTTAAGAATAAAAAATAAATGCGTTGGTCTGACACTGGATTAAACCTACAAAAACTCATCCCTGCCTCCATTATCTCTGCATTTGAGTCCTCAACCGACCTCGTCAACCGACAGATTTTTTCTGTTTAAGTTTTTGTGACACACTTAAATGTTTCATCAGTTTTAATGTCAGAGATATTCTGATTGAATACAAAGCATAGGTTTAAAAGGATGATCTTATCGATAAAGGAGGAAAGGTTATTTGAGCTATCTTCTATTCTTGCACTCTAATGTTCGGTGCACTTTGTTTAGCTCAGTGATATTTCAAATGAGCTTTGAACCTGGTCCTGTGTGACAGAAAGAACAAACATCTGATGTTTGCAGCAACAGACAGTGAGTCTGATCCACTTTTCTTTGCAAATTTGTTTTAACTCAGCTAAACTGAGCCTGCCATTGTAGCAGAAATTAAGCATGTGGGTTTCAGCATGAAAGGCAATGTTTAAAGTCATTCTGAAGAATCTCAAAGGGATTGAAGTCCAGAACTTAATTAGCTGAATATAACAATTTCTTCTTCTTATTTTTTAACTGTTTGAGCGATAGACTGTTTTCATGGGGAATTATCAGGATGATTTTTGACAACTGATATATTTGAGGATTTTGGTGCTTTGAGGTTCTTACCAAATTGTAATTAATGGATTATTGAAATAATCTTCAACTAATTTAATTGA